CTTAGCTCTTTGGTGAACCTTAAGCCGTTAAACCTCCCACTTGGATATTAAGCTAAATTCACTGTACCGGGCATTCCTTCTAGTAGGAATTATTCAGGTACTGCAGTCTTTTTCTCTAAAGGTCTTGATTTCTACCCCAAATATGTTTTCCCTGTACAGGTCCATTCAGCCCTTACTGCTGTAGAACAGAACCATGGAAGTTTCCAGGCTGTAGATGTTTATATGTGCCCAAGCATTACGTCCGTGATTTGGGTCCCACTAGATCAGGCACCCTGGAAGGCAGAGACCGTCCCTTCCCTGCTGAGACTTTTCAGGGTAGGGATCTGACCCTGTACGCTGACCCTTAACGTCTTTACCAAGTCCCGCTGGTGCACTCACCCCGGTGGGCTTGGAGACTGGGTGATCGACTCAAGAGGGGAGCCAGCGATGGTGCAGCACGGAGCGGCCAGGGGGAGGAGGCCAACAGTGGCAGCAACTCAAGGCCCTAAAGGTGAGCTTAGGGTTCAGTACAAGTCCACTTTGTGTCCCAGTGGTGGAAAGCCTTGTGCAGGGATGTTGGATTCCTCAGAGAACACAGCCTGCTGCGACAATTCGTTCAGTCTGTGTCTGTACACGTGTGGAGATACATGCGCGCACGTGTGTATGTGTATATATACGCACACAATGTGTGGTGCTTCAGTAGTTTGTACCTAAATGACATAAAAAACATGTTTTAAAGCTGTGTTTACGTGTCTTTTTCTAAACATCTGTGAAGGCCCTCTTGGGTGGCACTGTTAATTTTTGTACAATAAGCAATCTGGTTGTATGAAGTAATAAATGTACATGTAGAGTCTGTTTGTCTCGCTCGGGTTGGGCTCTGAGCGCTTTGCTGCTAACTGTTTCCAAAGGCTGCCATACAATGCAGATCTTTTCAGCATGTCACAGTGGTGTAGGACTCACCAAAGTCCTGGACAGAGAGCAGTTAAAGCAGACTCTGTTTTTTTTGGATAACGCTGTCAGCAGTGCTTTCCCTCTTAAATTGGCCTTTCGTTGCCACAGGCTATAAAATGGAGAATGCTCCAATGCCCAGCACATGGAAGGAGGGTGGGGGAGAGGAGAGGAGAGCAGAGGCCCCAGCAGATGTTCAGTGTTAGCACCTGATTCAGACCTCACAGAACCAGGCAGGCTGTTTCATTATTTGCCCCGGGGCTGGAAGTATAATCAGGCTCCAGAGAAGCCATATCATCAGCTGTCTGTGACCAGAAGACTTTCAAGAGGAAAACTTCTGTTAGGAAAGAAATTTCAGACTTGGAAAGAGACCCCAAGTCTCCTGGGACTGAGTTGATTATTTGAATTTTCTCACTAAGTTCCTTATGAAAGAATGTGTAGTTTCCAGTGTTTCATAATGCCTCAAACATGAAAGAGTGAGCAAGGGAAATTGCTGATCAAGGGATTTCAGGAGAGGTCAAATCTTTGTATAGAAAGTTCAGCTCACCCCAGTTTAAAAGAGACTGTGAAATAGCAAAGGTGCACTGACTTGTTCTGATCATGGTAAAGATGAAAAAGCTTGTGGGCTGTAAAGAAGTCCTCCATCAAGGGAGCAAAGACTTAGCTCTACAATCCGGGCACGAGGAGGTGGAAGCAGCAGAGCAAATAGTGAAAAATTGTCTGGTTTTGGAATAAGCCACCCTGAGTCAGATTGTGGACTCAGATTTTTTTCACATGTGTAGTGACAGGTACGTACATGATGAACACGCAGGTGACACTGTGCTGCCAGGGAGCAAGCAGGGAGCCTGGGAGTGCCCGAGCAACACGCTGGTGTATATCGGGTGTCAGCACCATGGCGGCAGCCAAGGCCTACTCCGTGCAAGCCGCCCACCGAACAACGCTGTAGGTGCAGGCTGCGGCCGAGCCAGGCAGGAGTAACCTCAGCCCTCTGATGGAGAAAAGCAGACTGTGTAAAGCCGCCTGTGTTGATGGTAGCAAAGGCAGAGAGATGCTTCAGCTCTGAGAGTGTGGCACACGGTCTTTTTCCCTGCTCACATTAAGTGTTTCGTGAGAGGGCTGTGTGAAAGCTGGGCTGTGGCTGTGGATGCCTCAATCGCCTGTGTGTCAGAGCCTGACTTCCACACGAAGCTATGCTGACAGGGCTGCAGCAGCAGGGATGTTCCCACCTCCCGTAGCACAGGGACATTTGACCCTCTCTGCTTTCTAAGCCAGGCTGGTTTTGTGTGCTGGTTATGCCCCACGTACCGCATACACGGTTGTTCAGTACCTGTGATAGATGAGCTGCTTTTGTGCAGCACAGAGCTGTCTTCTGATCAGCTAAAGTGCCATGCTCCTCCTGCATGTCTGCACCTAGATGTCTTGGAAAGATCCAGGCTCTTTTCCTCTTCTTTAGGAGGCCTCAACTATCATTAAAAACGTATAGGATGAGGAGCCGTGGCTAACCTGATTGCCCAATGCAAGAACACTGAACAGCCGAGGACGTGCCACAAGGCAAGTTCTGGCTTTGTTAGGAAAATGCTAAGTGTGGGGATGGGCTGGGGCAGAGTTAGGGTCAGACCATG